TCTTCCTGAATTTGGGGAGACTCTGTTTGTGACCCAATATGTGGTCTATTTTTGAATATGTCCAATGATCCCTTGAGTGAATGTATATTCCATGGCTTTGGGGTGAAGTCTTCTGAAGATGTCAATTAAGTCCATCTGATCTAGTGAGTCATTTAGGATTGCTGCTTCTTTGCTTATTGTTTGTCTAGAGGATTTATCCTGTGATGTCAGTGGTGTATTAAAGTCCCCTACTATGATTGTATTGTTGTCGATCTCTCCTTTGATATCTTCCAGGAGTTTTTTTTATGTATTTGGGTGCTCCTGCATTGGGTGCATATTTGTTTATCAGGGTTATATCTTCTTGTTGTATTGATCCCTTTAGTATTATGAAGTGGTCTTCCTTATCTCTTGTTATGGCCTTCACTTTGAGCTCTATTTTGTCTGATATAAGTATTGCTACCCCAGATATTTTTTCATTTCCATTTGCCTGAAAGATATTTTCCATCCCTTCACTTTCAGTCTGTGTGTGTCCCTTCTTCTGAGGTGGGTCTCTTGTAGACAGCAAACGTATGGGTCATGTTTTTTTATCCATTCAGCTACTCGATGTCTTTTGGTTGGAGCATTTATTCCATTTACGTTTAAAGTTATTATTGAAAGGTACTTGTTTGTAGACATTTCTTTTATTGTGTGGCTGTTTTCTTTCTAAGCTTTTTATTTCTTCTTTTTATACCAGTCCCTTTAGCATTTGTTGCATTGCTGGCTTGGTGGTGATAAACTCCCTTAGCCTTTTTTTGTCTGGGAAGCTTCTTAGTTCCCCTTCAATTTTGAATGATATCCTTGCTGGATAGAGTATTCTTGGATTCATTCCTTTGCTTTGCATCACTTTGTAAATTTCTCTCCATTCTTTTCTGGCCTGATGTGTTTCTGTTGATGTACCATTTGATAATCTAATGGGAGATCCCTTGCATGTAACTTTCCGTCTCTCTCTTGCAGCCTTTCAGATTCTCTTTTGTCCTGACCATTTGCCATGGTAATTATGATGTGTTTTGGTTTGGGTCTTTTCAGGTTCACCTTGTTTGGGACTCTCTGTGCTTGTATGATTTTTTTCTTCCCCACCTCTGGAAATTTTCTGATATTATTTCTTCCAATAGGTTTTCTAACCTTTTTCCTCTTTGTGTTGTTCAGGCACCCCTATTATTTGTATGTTGTTTCGTTTCATCTTGTCCCATTGCTCCCTTAGGATCTCCTCCTGTCTTTTAATTTTTTTTCTCCAATTGCTGTTCAGTTTGGATGTGTTTTGTTTCCTTGTCTTCTAATTCTCTAATTCGGTCGTCTGCTTCTCCTAGTCTACTGTTGAAATTTTCAATGGTGTTTTTTATTGCAGCTATATCACTCTTCATTTCGTCTTGGTTCTTACATAATTTATTGATTTTTCTCATCTGTTTCACCTTGCTTCTTGAATAAGTTGTTGATTTTTCCTCCACCTGGTTTATGCACTCTAGGACCCTTCATCTGAATTCTTTTTCTGTCATGTTGCATGCCTCTGTATCACTTAGCTGCTTTTCTGGCGAGTCCTCCTTTTCTTTCCTTTGGTGGTTTCTTTGTCTACCCATGTTTAATCGTACCACCATATCTAGATGTTGAGTTGTTCAGTGGCTTCTCCTTGGGTGGCAGTGGCTCCTCGGGCTGCGATTGCTCCTTGGGTGGTTGTGGTAGCTGCTGCTCCTCAGTTGGTAGCAGCTCCTCTGGTGGGTGCTGTTCACAGTTGTGGCTCCTTTGGTTGGTGGGGGGAGGCTTCACACATAACTGATGTTCCTCAGACAGAGGGTGTGGTGATCGGGAGGCTGCTGTTCCTTGGATGGGGACGGGCTACACAAGTAGCTGCTACTCCTTAGAATTGTTACTTTTAATCTCTTAAGCGGCCTCAGGGCAAGGTGTTTTCCAATAGGGTATGTCAACTGTCTTCCCCCCAGGCAAGGCAGATGTCTATCCCCCCAGGCAAGGCACATGTCTATACCCCCAGCAAGGCAGATGTCTATGTGGCTGTGTGAGGGAATGACTGAGTTGAGGAGGCTTGGGGTATCTGTCTTCTGAGCTCTGTCCCCCTAGTCCGCAGTGCTGGCTTCTGCTCTCACAGCTCCAGTCCACTTCACCCTCCCTCTGCCAGAGCACAAGGTGGGTGACTCCACAGGGAATGTTTGTGCCTTGGCCCTTTAAGAGGGTGCCTAACTTTCAGCTGCCACTCCCTGCCAGACAGCACCCTACTGCTTTTCACAGCTTGATGTTATGTGGATACCTTCCTCAGTTTGTTGCTCTGTGCTGGGGAGCCCAGCTCAGGGATTAGATCCCCTTCTCCACCATCGGCTGAGATGTCTCTCTGGGACTTCAGTTCCCCTCTGTGGGTCACGTCTCTGCCCCTCCTACCAGTCGCTATGCCGGCTCCACCTTCGGTTCTTGGGTATTAGGGTTCTCTCCTGTGAGTTTTCCGTTGATTATTCAGGAAGCCTTCTCGTATTTCAGTTGTAATTCCAGCTTGTTCCTGAGAGCATGACCATGTAGCATCCTCCTACTCTGCCGCCATTTTTAATCTCCTTGTTTTCTCTTCTTGTAAGATTACCAGTCATATTATATTAAGGGCCCACTCTTGATGACTTCTTCTTAATCTGATTATGTGGACAAAGACCCTAATTTCAAATCACATGCATAGGTACCAGGGGTTAGGACTTCAACACATTTTTTGCAGAATAAAATTCAACCCATAACATTAAATAATATTGATGAGGTACCATATTATGTGTATTGTGCTAAGTATGTTATGTACATTATTTTAAATAGTGGCAGAGAGGTTAACTAATTTATCCAAGCTCACATAGCTAGTATGTTGCAAAATTGTAGTTCAAACATATTTGAACCTGATTGCGAGAAACTTGCCGTTGATTATTTTATTTACAAGGACGAAATAATGTATAATTTTATATCTTCTACACTAATAAAAGACAAAGATGCTAATTGACCGTACCTTCGCTATGCCCAAGCCACGCCCATCAGCCAATCCAAGCGACTATATGCAAATTAACCCAACCAAGATGGCGGCCGGCAGCCACGGAGCTAGAGCAAGCAGGAGGCTTGGTTGCCCCGGCTATGGAGGAAGACAAGCTTCTCACCTGCTCTGGCTGGCTGTGTCCTCCGCAAAAGGCAACAAAGTTTCAATTATAGAAGCTAAATAAATCCCAGATACCTGCTTCCAGCCAACCTCCACTGGGAACTTGGGTGGCTGGGGGCTGTGGCCAGCCTGCTAACAGCCATCAGCCCCTCACCCAGGATAGCCACACACCCCCACGGGGTGAGCGTCCCTGCTGGAGGGCTTGGCCAGCCTGCCAACAGCCATCAGCCCTTCAGCCAGACTGGCTAGGGACCCCAGCAGGACCCTCCACCCTGAAGTGGGTGTGGCCAGCCTGAAAATGGCCCTCAGCCCCTCACCCAGGCTGGCCAGGCACCCCAGGGCGGACCCCCACCCTGATCTGGAACACCCTTCAGGGCAAACTAGCCAGCCCCCACCCATGCACCAGGCCTCTATCCTATATAATAACAGGGTAATATGCAAATTGACCCTAACAGCAGAGCAACTGGGAATCACTGGTCACTATGACACACACTGACCACCAGGGGTCAGACGCTCAATGCGGGAGCTGCCCTCTGGTGGTCAGTGCGCTCCCACATGGGGAGCTCTGCTCAGCCACAAGCCAGGCTGACAGCTGCCAGTACAGTAGTGGTGGTGGGAGCCTCTCCTGCCTCCTTAGCAGCGCTAAGGATGTCCGACTACAGCTTAGGCCTGTTCCCCGCTGGCAAGTGGACATCCCCCGAGGGCTCCCGGGCTGCCAGAGGGATGTCTGACTGCCAGCTTAGGCCCAATCCCCCAGGGAGCGGGCCTCAGCCAATAGGTGATCATTCCCCAAGGGGTCCCAGACTGCGAGAGGGCACAGGCCGGGCTGAAGGACCCTCCTGAGTGCACAAATTTTTGTGCACTGGGCCTCTAGTGTGTGTGTGTGTGTGTATATATATATATATATATATATATATATATATATCTCCTACCTTACTATGAACACACAATTGTACTGTGCAACATTTAACTCCCAAGAACCTCAAATCACAAATTAGTCGATCAAACTTTTAGCTGTGCCTTGTTTTATGAAGATTAACTGTTACTAATTAATTTTCAAGAGCACCAAAGCAAGGTGGGCCTAAAAGGCATTTGCTAGAGTAGAGTCATACCAGTCATCTGTCATGGCTCACAAATATATCAGGAGAAGTTCTGCTTCCCCACATGATTTGCATTTTCAAGATTAGTTTAAGAACCAGGTATACTGTGAATCTTATAGGCTAGCCTTCACACAGAGTAAATTATTCCAGAGCACCATAGTACATTTCTTAGTAATGATTCAGTGTGGATCTACCTAAAACATACTGATTAACAGGGGGATCACTATAATTTTAGTGAGGGTTGCAGCAATTTTAAAATATTTACAAGGGGCACTATTCACATTGGATTTATTCTAAGTGCAATCTTATAGTATTATTTGATTCCATAATATTGGTTTTAGTTGACATTAATTATAATGAACAAGAGGATAAATTTATCTATACATAATTGAAAGTTTTCTATTCTTGCTCTTGAATAACAATTTGAATAAAAGTAGAGTTTTCGCCCTATCCGGTTTGGTTCAGTGGATCGAGCGTCGGCCTGTGGACTGAAGCGTCCCAGGTTCGATTTCGGACAAGGGCATGTACCTTGGTTGCAGGCACATACCCAGTAGGGAGTGTGCAGGAGGCAGCTGATGGATGTTTCTCTCTAATCGATTTTTCTAACTCTCTATCTCTCTCCCTTCCTCTCTGTAAAAAATCTGTAAGATATATTTTTAAAAAAAGTAGCGATTTCCTGTCCTATTTTAACAACAACAAGAAATGCGCTTTTTCTCATTTGGCTTATGAAGATTCATGGAAATCACTCTGCTTTGCAGGAGTTTATATGACAGGGAAGGAACTTCGCCAGTGTATGCTACCAAAGGCAGCAGCTTTGTCTGAAAAACTCAAAATATTCCAAGAATTTCTTCTGCCCAGACATCCTCCTGTTTTTCATGAGTGGTTTCTGAGAACATTCCCTGATCCAACATCATGGTAAATTACCAAGATTATAATACATTATTATGGTTGGATATAAAGAAGTATTTTAAGTTTATGTTACCTGATATGCATGAGGATATTTAACAGGTATTTTCTTTAGGTACAGTAGCAGATCAGCATATTGCCGTTCCACCGCAGTTATGTCAATGGTTGGTTATATCCTGGGCCTTGGAGACCGTCATGGTGAAAACATTCTCTTTGATTCTTTGACTGGTGAATGTGTACATGTGGATTTCAACTGTCTCTTCAATAAGGTATATGATATGACTTACTCTAGGTCAGTGGTCGGCAAACTCATTAGTCAACAGAGCCAAATATCAACAGTACAACAATTGAAATTTCTTTTGGAGCCAAATTTTTTAAACTTAAACTATATAGGTAGGTACATTGTTATTAACTTAATTAGGGTACTCCTAAGGCTTAGGAAGAGCCACACTCAAGGGGCCAAAGAGCCGCATGTGGCTCGCGAGCCACAGTTTGCCGACCACGGCTCTAGGTAATTGTATGTTTTCTATTAATTTTCTTTCTTCAACAACTGTTCTTCCTAGATCTACCCATTGGTAGCAGTTATAGTCACAGTTGAGTCTCATATCCCATAGCCATTAGTAAAGCAATCTAGGATGGAGAGAACCCAGAAGCATAATATAATAAAACTAGCACTGAACTTAAGTCTGAAAACACAGGTTCAAGTTCTGATTCAATTAGTTCTTAGTTATATGAACATGAACAGAGCAGTTCATTTTACTGAGACTCACTTTTAGAGAAATAGTAGTTTAATGTGATGGTTTCCAAACATGTCAGTATATCAGAATCATCTAAGAGGTGTTTTTTGTTTTGTTTGTTTTAAATATCTTTTTTCACTGACTTTTTTAGAGAGAGAAATAGAAACATCAGTGAGAGAGAAACATTGATCAACTGTCTCCTGCATGCTCCCTACTGGGGATTAAGCCCACAACTGGGCATGTGCCCTGATCAAACTGGTGACCTCTTGGTGCATGGGCCTACACTCAACCATTGAGCCACACTACCCTGGATAAGAGTTTGTTGTTTTTTTTTCTTAATGCAGATATCTAGGAAACATCCCAGGAAGTTCATATTCTGTAGGTCTAGAGTAGGGCCTGGGAATTAATTAAGGTAGTTGGACTCTCCCTAAGGCCTTCTCCAATTTTCCAATGTTAGGATCTTGGAAAGCAGACTAGTAGTTAGACCACTTTTTTCTTCATCCTCATTCTCTATTGATTGCCTTCTGCTGTCACAGGAAAACAAGAAATGTCACAGGCCAAATTGAGAACAAATCAAAGATAAACCACTGGTATATGTTAAATCATACAAGAGAGGAATTTAGGGAAACTGGAGGGATAAAAAATTCCTAGGAAGGCTCATTAAAGAATGGCAAAAAATAAATGAACTGGACTACATTACATTCCATGTTGCATTTCCTTCTAATGCTTGGCTATATCTTTTTCCCTACTCCTTTAAAATCAAAGTTTTAAAGCAGCGGTTCTCAACCTGTGTGTCGCAACCCCTTTGGGGGTCGAACGACCCCTTTCACAGGGGTCGCCTAAGACCATCGGAAAACACATTTATAATTACATATTGTTTTTGTGATTAATCACTATGCTTTAATTATGTTTAGTTTGTAACAGTGAAATTGGGGGTCACCACAACATGAGGAACTGTATTAAAGGGTCGCAGCATTAGGAAGGTTGAGAACCACTGTTTTAAAGAAAAGAAGAAATATATGACAATACATGTAAGTACTTTATATTATTCAAGAAAGACATTAAGGATGTTGATATAACATAAAATATTGAATGCATAAAAAATTCTCTTTAGCCGAAACCGGTTTGGCTCAGAGGATAGAGCATCGGCTTGCGGACTGAAAGGTCCCAGGTTCGATTCCGGTCAAGGGCATGTACCTGGGTTGCGGGCACATCCCCAGTAGGAGATGTGCAGGAGGCAGCTGATCGATGTTTCTCTCTCATCGATGTTTCTAACTCTCTATCTCTCTCCCTTCCTCTCTGTAAAAAATCAATAAAATATATTTTTAAAAAAAATTCTCTTTAATGTTGTTTACCACAGTAATTCAATAAAAGGTGAGTCCGTCCATCCTCTAGTTCTTACCCAAGGGGTTGCATTTAAATTCCCCAAAAAGCAAAGGTAGAGTCATAGTCATATAGATCATTTGTGATATAGGCTCTAACATAGTTACAAATATAAATATTTTGACGGTATGTTTGCTTTTTGCTAAATGAGTCTAGACATGAAGTTCTAAATTTTTTGCATAAAGATTTAAAAATTCTAACATTGTTGCTTTTTAATAATGTTTTAAGGGAGAAACCTTTGAAGTTCCGGAAATTGTTCCATTTCGCCTGACTCATAATATGGTTAATGGAATGGGTCCTATGGGAACAGAAGGTCTTTTTCGAAGAGCTTGTGAAGTTACAATGAGGCTGATGCGAGATCAGAGAGAGCCTTTAATGAGGTAATCACTTATATTTTGTAAACAATTTACAGTAAGTTTGAATGGAATTATTGGTTCCTAAGTATGCTTTCTTTATATAGAAGCCACTTTGCATTGGTTGAAGTAGATTTTTTTAAAATCTTTATGTAATTTACATACCATAAAATTTACATTTCATAAAATTCACTCTTTTGAAGTGTATTCTACCGTGGTTTTTAGTATATTCGCAAAATTGTGCAACCATCACTGCTTAATATAAAACAACCATCACTGCTATCTAGTTATAAAACATTTTCATTACCCCCAAAAGAAATAGTAGCAATCATTCCCCATCTCTTCTCTCTCACCATCCCTTGGCAACCACTAATATACTTTCTGTCTCTATGGATTTGCCTATTCTGGACACTTCATATATAAATGGGATCATACAACATGTAGCCTTCTGTGTCTGTTTTCTTTCACTTAGCATAACGTTTTTAAGGTTTATCCATGCTGTAGCATGTATCAATATTTCATTCTTTTTTATTGCCAAATAATATTACATTATATGGATACATTTTGTTCATTCATTCATGAGTTAATGGACATTTGGATTGTCTGCACTTTTTGGCTAGTGTAAATGGTGTGGCTATGAACTTTTGGGTATAAGTTTTATGTAGATATAGTTATTTAATACTTTTGGATATACCTTGGAGTAGAATTGATAAGTCATATGTTAACTCCAAGTTTAACATTTTGAGGAACTTTCAAATTTTTTCAAAGCAGCTGTAATACTTTATAATCCTACTAGGAATGTCTAAGATCTCCAATTTCTCCACACCCTTACCAACACTTGTGATTGTATGTATTTTTAATTTTACCTGTCCTAGTGGGTGTGAAGTTGTATCTCATTGTGGATTTTTTTTTTTAATTAACTAGACATTAAATTATTGACTTTTCCTAAATGTGAACAGTTTTGTGATTATGTTGTAAAGGGCCCTTATCTTGGACAGATGCATTCTTAAATATTTATAGAAGAAATAACCAGATGCTCAAGGTTTGTTTCAAAAAGAAAAACACATACAGGAGTGGGTAGGACAGTTGTGGGTAATTGGTGGTCAGATATGGGTGGGTGCACAGGGTTCACTATACTATTCTGAGGACTATTGCCATATATTTGAAATTCTTCCTATTTCAAGAGTGTAAAAGACCTGTCAGGAGTCTGACTTCCCACTCTCCCCCTTCTGATCCAACCCCACAGATGGAGGAACACTAATGTCTGAGTCGTCTAACCTCCCCACAAAAACAGCAGCAAGATAGGTACATGCTTTAATGGGGCGGGTGGGGGGTTCCCAAATGCAGTGTCATGCTCAATGGCTCAGCTTGAGGCCCTTGAATATTCAGTGAAGGATGATCTGAGCATAGGCCAACGTGCTCAAGTGCATGATTCAGCCATGTTTGTGCTTGCATTTGATGTTGCTCAGCTGGTACTTGTTCCTGCATGCCTTACCCTGGCTTGGCTGTATGATGAGGAGTCCCTAGGTGTTGGGGAGCCCCAACCAGGCCTGGGCATAGAGCCACCTGACATCTAGTTTTGTTACTGACCTACTGACAGCACACAACAGGCAACAACTTGGGGATTTGCCCAAAAGAGCCATGTCTAGCTGCCGGTCACGCTGCCCCCCACATCTCATAGAGTTTAATTTGCATTTCCCTAGTGACCAACGATGAGGAATATCCTTTCATGTGTGTTTGTTTGGGGTTTTTTTTTTTTGTCAGTTGTATATCTTCTTTGGACAAATGTCTATTCAAATCACATTTTTAATGGGATTATTTATATTTTTGTTGAGTTCTAAGAGTTCTTTATATAAGTAGATAACTAGCCCCTTATGAGATACGATTTGCAAATATTTTCTCTGATATATGGGTTGTCTTTTTCCTTTCTTGATGATGCCCTTTGAAGCATAAAAGTTTTTACTTTTGATAAATTCCAATTTGTCTCTTATTGTTGTTATTTGTGCTTTTGATATCTTATTTAAGAACCTATTGCATAATCCCAAGTTATGGAGAGTTATACCTATGTTTTCTTCTGTTTTATAATTTTAGCTCATATTTCAATCCTTGATCATTTTCAGTTATTGTTTTCTATTTAGTATCAGGTAGGGTTTCATATTTATTTTTTTGAATATGCATATCTAGTCCCAGCACCATTTTTAAAAAGGATTATTTTTTCTCCATTTAATTTTCTTGGCAATTTTGTTGAAAATCAGTTGCCCATATATAGAAGAGTTTATTTCTAGATTCTCAGTTTTATTCCATTTATCTTTATTTCTAACCTATGCTAACACACACTGTCTTCATCACTGTAGGTTTGTGGTAAGTTTTGAAATCAGGAAGTATGATTGGGTCCAACTATTATTTCTTTTTCAAGATTGTTTGGCTCTCCCAGCCTGCATAGCTCTGTGGTTGAGCATCATCGACCTATGAACCTGGAGTTCAATTCCTGGTCAGGACACATGCCAGGGTTGTGGGCTTGAACCCCAGTGGGGGGCATGCAGGAGGCAGCCGATCAGTGATTCTCTCTCATCGATGTTTCTAGCTCTCTCTTCCTCCCCTTTCCTCTCTGAAATCAATAATACACACACACACACACACACACACACACACATACACATTTTAAAAGACTGTTTGGCTATTGTGGGTCCCTTGCATTTCCATATGAATTTTGTCAATTTTTGCAAGAAAACAACCTGGATTTTATAGGAATGGCATTGAATCTATAAATCAATTTGAGGAGTATTGCCATCTTAACAATATTAATTTTCCTGACCCATGAATGTGGAATTTTCCCCCCATTTATTTATCTTTAATTTCTTTCAATGTTTTGTAGTTTTTAGTTTGCAACTTTTCTATTTAACTTTTGAAAAAATGTGTTTCTAAATACCTTATTCCTTTTAATCCTATTCCAAAAGGAATTTTCTTAATTTTTTGATTGCTCTTGTATATAACTGATATTTGTATATTGATCTTATATCCTATAACCTTGCTGAACTTGTTTATTACTTTCAAGAGTTATTTTTGTAGATATCTTAAGATTTTCTCTCTACAAAAACATGTCATCTGAAAATAAAGTTTTATTTCTTCCTTTCCAATCTTAATGCCTTTTCTTTTTCTTGCCTAATTGCCCTAGCTAGATCAGTGTTGAATAGACATGGAAAGAATTCTGCATTCTTGTATTGTTCCTGATGTTAGGGCTAAAGGAGTCCATCTTTCACCATTAGATATTATGTTAGCTGCAGGAAATACAGTTAACCCTTGAACAACATGGCAGTTAGGGGCACCAATACCCTTGCACAGTGGAAAGTCTGCATATAACTTTTGACTCCCCCAAAACTTAACTACTAATAGCCTATTGTTGACTGGAAGCCTTACTGGATGACATAAATAGTCAATTAACATATTTTGTATGTTATATGTATTCTATGCTGTATTCTTACAATAAAGTAAACCAGAGAGAAGAAAATGTTACTAAGAAAATCATAAGGAAGAGAAAATTTATAGTAGTGTACATAATTATTGTAAAAAGTCCTCATATAAGTGGACCTGTATAGTTCAAACCCATATTGTTCAAGGGTCAACTAGTTTGTAAAAAGGACTTATAAAGTTCATTTATTCACTTTTTTATATAAAAGCTGTCTACCAGACATTACCCTATATAATAAAAGCGTAATATGCAAATCAACTGAACGGTGGAACAAATGGTCGCTATGATGTGCTCTGACCACCAGGAGGCAGACGCTCAGTGCAGGAGCTGCCCATTGGTGGTCAGTGTGCTCCCACAGGGGGAGCACTGCTCAGCCAGAAGCTGGGCTCACTGCTCGTGAGCGCAGCTGTGGTGGTGGGAGCCTTCCCTGCCTCCACTGCCGGAAGGCGGTAAGGAGCGAGGGGTCCCATACTGGGAGAGCCCCAGACTGTGAGAGAGATATCTGACTCCTGGCTTAGGCCTGATCCCCAGACATCACCTGAGGGGTCCTGGACTGTGAGAGGGCGCAGGCCAGGCTGAGCGCCACCCCGTGCGCGCGCGCGCGCCCCCCCTCCCCCCAGTGCACAAATCTCGTGCACTGGGCCTCTAGTGGTAGAATACTTGGGTTAGTTAGAGAAAGGCAAAAGCAAGTTCTCTGAAAGAAGAAGTATAACATCCTGTGAAACACTCAACTAGGAGCTTCTATACTAGTCTGAAATAAGTCAGGAAATAACTTCTAGAGGAAGTAGTTGAGACCTTAAAGATAAATAGAATTGGCCACGCAAAAGGGAAGAGAGTCTTCTGAGAGAAAGAAATATCAATGGTATTGAAGGCATGGCTTGCTTGAGAAATGCAATACTGTATTCTAGAGGGTAGAGTAGACTTTAAGTACTTTATTCCTAGGAGGTAGTGTGAGCAGAGCTACATTATCAAAGGTCCACATGAGTTCAGTTTACACATTTAAACTTTGTCCTGAGAACAATCAGAAGTCATTGGAGGGTTTTAAGAAGAAAATAAAAAAATAAGAAGAAATGATATAATCAGATTTGCATTGTAGAAAAATTACAGTTCCAGTTTGGGTTAGAGGCCAGAAAACTAGTTAGAGGACTCATGCAGTACCCCACGCAAATACTGGCTGAAGTAGTGACAGTCAAGATGGAGATTAAGTAGAGAGATTCTAAAGAGATTTAAAAAGTAGGATTAGGTGTTTAGAGGAGGGGGGGGGAGGCAAGGGATAGTGGATGAATGATGTTACTCTTTACTGATTTGAGGATAATAGTTTGGGGAAGAATCATGAGTTTTGTTTTGAAAATACTGAATTTGAGATGCCTACAAGATATCTAAATGGGTTTTTCCCATAGGTAATTGGATTTGACATCTAGAGCACAATAGAAAAATCTGAGCTGGGTCTGTTTATATGGTAGCTATAGATACTTTATGGTCATTGTGGAGACATGGCAGGGGATAAAATTCACTCATTCAATAAATATTCATTAAACAGTTTACAGTATGCATTCAGAGATGGCATACAGACCATTTTACTGTACTACAAGAACACCTCTGACCCTCCTCTATCTTGTCTCTCCCCCCCCCCCACTTACCTTTCCCTCCTCTTATCCCAAAACAATAATTTCACTGAAATAAGAATAATGTGTATTATAAGAGTATTACCATTAGTTTCTCATCTTTCACTTACTTTTCACCTAAGTATTTTCTTCATTAAGATTTCTTTTTACAAAGATAACATTGTATTATTACTTACAATGTTTTCTTTCCATTTTAGTGTCTTAAAGACTTTTCTACATGATCCTCTTGTGGAATGGAGTAAACCGGTAAAAGGGCATTCCAAAGCACTACTGAATGAAACTGGGGAAGTTGTTAACGAAAAGGTTAGTAGAAGGTATAGCTTGATGTAAGCTTATATTGCATATCTCTACAAATGAGAACTGAATCTAAATACTATCAGTGACTGACCATTGAATACTCTGAAATCTAGTACTCTAGTATGCCAATGCCCTACGTTTTCTTTATTATCTTTAGTAATGTTAACATTATTATCATTTGTATAATACAAGCAGAGTTGAGGACACACTTGTTTAAACCATAGACAATTTGTAATTATGAGATAGAGTGGGGAATACCTGAACACAAATTGTGTGTACTTACAGAGCAGCAGATCTCAGCTTTAATATTTTAATTGCTCTAAATTTTACATTAATCATAAGTATATAAGTACTTAATTTATAAACTCAGTTGACACTCTACTATAAGTAGAAATAAATTGTCAATAGCTGGTAAATTATATCACTGCATTTTTATTGCAAAATATTACTTATTTAAGCACTTAAAAATGGAAAGTGTACAAAGATTAAGACATGGTAAATTGACTAACCATACTGTTGACATGTAACAATACTGTTATAATACAACAGTTAAATTTATGAGTCTACAACAGATGTAGTTAGTAGTTGTTAGATTAACAAGAAACAAAGTTGAAAAGACCATGTTAAAACAAATTTACTGGCACTAATAGGTCAGGACTGTAATAGCAACAAACGTATTCACTCAGCTCCTGAGTATGTCAAGTTTTACAGTACACATTAAAAATTATTTGTTTTATCAATAGTGTAAAACATTTTTTTCACTCCCTACTAATATTCCCTGGTATTTCAAACAGTCCAGGAAAATGTCTAAATAGTTGATCTCGGATCAACATTGCAAGACTTCAAATCAATATCTTTTTATTATACTTGTTTCATTTCTTCTCTCATATTTGCTCTGACAGAAGGGGTAATGATCAATAAAATGGCACTAACATTTGTTAAATAACAAAAAAGGTAGTAATTTCAAATTATCAACATGCTCATGTCATTGAGTCCTTAACTCTTATGATTTTCAACTTTGTCCTTTTAGGCCAAGACCCATGTTCTTGACATTGAGCAGCGACTGCAAGGTGTAATCAAGACCCGAAACAGAGTGACAGGGCTGCCCTTATCTATTGAAGGACATGTACATTACCTTATACAAGAAGCTACCGATGAAAACTTACTATGCCAAATGTACCTTGGTTGGACTCCATATATGTGAAATTAAATTACTTCAAAGAATATGTTAATAATCCAAAGTTAACATATTTGGTATTAATCTGTTTTTATCTATTGAATTCCGAAGTACAATATAAGTTGCTTTATGTTCTCAAAGCAACTGTATTATTTCTCCCTTTATGTTAACAATATTTAAAGTAATATATGTTGTTATTAAGAAATAAACTGCTTTATTACTATCTACTGTGTATTATAACCAGAAATAGCACATCAAATATTCTCATACTCTAAAAATATTTATTTGCAAGAAGCAAGCCAGCCTTATTTCATTTTACACCTTTTATTTTTAAGTACTTGCTAGCATAAGGATTCATTTGGACAACAATAAAAACTGAATAAATTATGTGGATAGAACACTGCTAGATTTGTACACAGAACTTATGTCCCCTGACATCCTAGTAAAACAGATACAATAACAAAAATAGCACATCATTATGTTCATGTAACAAAACTCTTTTTTCTTTTTTACATACATATTTTTTTAATGATTTTAGAGAGTAAGTGAGAGGGAGAGAGAGAGAGATAGAAACATCAGTGATGAGAGAGCATCATTGATTGGCTGCCTCCTGCATGCCCCATACTGGGGACTGAGCCGGCTCCCTGGGCATGTGCCCTTGATCTGAATGGAACCAGGATCCTTCAGTCCACAGACCAACGTTCTGTCCACTGAGCCAAACAAGCTAGAGCAAAAACTCTTTTTGTGTGTGGTTAAAAGTGTGATATGGAAAAAACATAAGACAAACAAGCATGAATCTGAAAACAATATAAATATTGTGTAATTGTAAAGATGTTCCCATACTGAATGCAGTAGTCTTGGAAGACAGCAATACTTGAAATTTCAAGAGATTTTAAATGTGTTTAAAATTTGTTTTTTCTTGCAGAGGATTTAAAATAGTTTATAGAATTATGAAACAATGAGGTTACTACATTCAAATAAATGGAAAACTTTTTTATAATAGACTAGAGGCCCAGTGCATGAAATACATAGGGTCCCTAGTGGCTGCTGGCTGGGGCTCCCTTCAGGGCTGTTGGCTGGCCGCCCCCCTTCCTCCTCGAATTCCGGGGGGAGGGTACAATTTGCATATTAGGCTTTTATTATATAGGATGATTGCACTTAAGTTCACTTGAGAGAATGCTGCTTTTTTGCAGAGTTGAGATTGATGGGGAAAACAGGATAAGCCCAAAGGTATGAAGGTGAAAACTAAACAATTTCCAATGGAAGGCCTTATAATTAAGAGTTAAGGAGGAACCTGGATGGGGGGTGGAGGGAGTTAGCAATATTTTTTTCAACGAATAACTTGTTAAACAACATTTTAAAAGAAACTGGTGTGTGTGTGTGTGTGTGTGTGTGTGTGTGTGTATCCTTCAAAGAAACGAATTCACTGAGCCAAATAAAACTAAACCAAGTAAATCACATGATCTTTCCAAATCTGTGTTGAAAAATACTGAGATGAGCCCTGTCGGGTGTGGTTACTGCATGGGCCCTTGAATCAAAGGGCCTCAGGTTCCATTATTGGTTAACCCCTAGAGTGCCGGGGAGCGCAATGCGCTCCTCCTGTCTTTCGCCAAAAGTACTAAGTCTGCTTTTATTAGTGATGATAATATTGCTAAATATGTCAAAGATGAAAACAAATGTAGTAAAGGTTTCCTTAAGTTTTTGAATATGTAACTTCATTTACTTGCGATTCATAATTTTTTTCCTAAACTGCTGTAAAATCAGCAAAAATGCCTTGGCAATTTTAGCATAGTTCCTAGGATACTGGTTGGCACTCAAAGGGTTAAGGGCCTGTATCTGGGTTGCAGATTTGAAGGTTTGATTCACCTCCAGCCCAGCGGACTGCGCGACAGTGGGAGGCAATCTCTCTCTCTCATTCCCTCTCCCTCCCTTCCACTCTTAAAAAAAAAAGAAATCCTCGGATGAAGATTACAGGAAAAAAAAATTAAAAATACTGTGATGGCATCCCAGGAGACTAAAGCCGACAGGACAAAATTCAGGGCCCACCAACATTTTCAGAAAACCGCCCGCGCCGCCCACGCTGGGCGCCACGCCAACCCCGCTCGGCCCGGAGGCCTCCGGGCGGCCGCTCTACCCCACGGCGGCCACTCTATGGTCGGGCGGGCGGTGTGTTGTCATCAGCCGAGCGACGGCGGCGGCGGCCCCGGCGGGCGTTCGGTTTCGGTTTGGCCCTCAGTGGGGTTGTGTTGAAGTGGAGATGGGAGTCCCCAAGTTTTATCGATGGATCTCGGAGCGGTACCCCTGCCTCAGCGAAGTGGTGAAAGAGCATCAGGTGGGTGAGGCGGCCGCGGCTCCCTCCGCCGCCCACTCGCCGTCGGCCGGCTGTGGGCTCGGGAAGGAGGGCTCCGGAGGTATGGGGACCCCGTGGCCGAGGGGGCGAGCCAGGGGCGGTCGTGACGGCGGGCGGACCTGCGCGCTGCCCACTCAGTCTCCGGCCGGCTCTGGGGGCGTCTTCCTGCCGCGGCGGCGGGAGCTCCCCCGGGCGCGAGCCCCAGAACGAGTCCCTGGGGCCTCTCGAGCCCGGAAAACACCCCGCGCCGCCGCCCCACCGGAACGGTGCTCACCCCGAGAGAGCCCCCGCCCCATGCCTGAATCTGGCACTGCCGAACCAGTGTCCTATTCCAAAAAAGTACACTTGGAAGGGCATTGGTTTTGGAGGCTCGTGTGTGTGTGTGTTAAGGGTGTGTTAGCTGTGTGTGTGTTGGGCGGTCTGTGTGTGTTAGATATGTGTGTGTGAGGTATGTGTGTTAGGGGTGTGTGTGTGTGAGGTGTGTGTGTGTTAGCACACCAATGTATTGGAACTGTCGAAAGGGCCTAGAAAGCAGTCAGACTGCTAGACTTTGAGTGATAGGTCACATTTAATGATTTCAGTAGATCTCTTGTCCATTTTGTATTTTGCAGAAAATAATTAGTTTTGAAATGTGTATCACTAATTGAATTAGTTGCATTGTATTTGTGGTGGGGCATAGTAATCCAGGGAACACCATCGTGCTCTGTGGAGTTATAGTTTTTTTTTTTTTAAAGTACCATAGCATGAAGGTAGTGTTAAACTTCCAGAAATAATTCTTTGTTGTTGTTACAGTCAAATTTGGTATATGAGGAAAATTTACAAAAAATTTCGAAATGGTAGTTTATCTTTAATTTATTTGAAACATGGGTTGTGTTAGATTAAGGAGACACTTCTTTCCAGAGAAGAGGTTACTGATACATTGCAGAAAGGGAAACAGCTAACTTTGGCTTTTCTTAGTCCTTCATTCAGAAAACATTTGAGTACCTGCCATGCATCATTCACTTTCTCAAGTGAAAAAAAGACTGTTATTCAGACTCATTTTATAATACATGATTTGTTCAGTAATATTTTTACTCTGTACTCTTTGGCACGGAATTCGGTTTGGTGGAAGTATGTGATTCTCTCCATCCTGAGGATTTTGTTATTGAAGAACAAAAATAATCTAAGGCAGTTTTATGATATGAACAATAAGGATAGGTTTTAATTGGTTCATCAAAGTGATGTCTTTCAGATATGTTTGATTCTGGTAGTTAACAACAACAAAAACAAAAGCAGATGTTATAAAGGGTTACCATGCAGTGCTTGCAAGATGAGTGAGTGCCTAAATGAGTCACAATAGTGGAAAAGCTAATCTTGGGGAAAGAGGCTGGAAAGAGGTTTGGTGGAGGGGTAGGTTCTGGAAAGTTGGTAGTGATGGTGATAGTAGCATAGTTTTTGGTCTCTGAATCCTTACATAAAGATAGAAAGAGCAATTAGCAAAATTTTAAATGCCTAGAACAATTATAATAAAATCATGTAATAGAGTATTTCTACAAACCCCCAAATACAAGGAGATGGAACAAACTACCTTTAGACCCAATCAGTATTGGCATCTCTGCAAGAGGAAGAAGGAAGCAATGGGGCGACATCAGATATACCTAAAACAGGAGAACTCCAGAATAGTGACTAAAAAACTATGAGGGTTGGTTGGACAGTAGTAGCTATAACTGAGGAGCTTTAAAGGGCAGGAGCAGTCTACCTCCTATCAACTTTTAAGACTGACTTGCCAAGGCACCATTCTAAGGCAAAGCTCACCCTAAAGAGAAACTGCTCAGAGTGATATATCTTCTATATTAATAAAAGGGTAATATGCCAATTAGACTGGGAGACCTTCTGGATGTCCTTCCAGACAAAGCCATAGTGGCGGGGCTGAGGCAGAGGCAGTTAGGGGCGATCAGGCTGGCAGGAGAGGGCAGTTGGGGGTGAGCAGGCCAGCAAGGTGAGGGTAGTTGGGGGCAATCAGTCTGGCAGGAGCTGGCAGTTAGGGATGATCAGGCCAGAACGTGGCGGGGAGGGGGGCAGTTGAGATTAATCAGGCTGGCAGGCAGAGTGGTTAGGGGCAATCAGGTAGGCAGGCAGGTGAGCGGTTAGAAGCCTAAAATAGGCAAGAGCGGTCCCGGATTGCGAGAGGGATGTCCGACTGACGTTTAGGCCCGATCCCACAGGGATTGGCAGTCCGACATCCCCCAAGGGGTCCCAGATTGGAGAGGGTGCAGGACGGGCTGAGGGACATTCCCCACACACACACGAATTTCGTGCACCGGCCACTAGTCTTTTATAATAAAAGCATAATATGCTCATTAGACCGGATGACCTTCCGGATGAAGCTGGGGCTGCTAGAGAAGCCCGGGTCCCATGTGCCTGCTGGCGGCCAGAGGAAACCCTGGGTCCTGGATGCCTGCTGGCAGCCGGAGGGAAGCCCAGGTTCCGGGTGCCAGAGGGAAGCTGGTGTTAGCAGCCAGGGGAAGGAAGGCCTGCTCTTACACGAATTTCATGTATTGGGCCTCTAGTAAGTTTATAAGAAAAGGTACAATAGAGATAAAAGAAGAAGGTCCAAATAAAAGTAAGAGGGTTACAGAGTCAAGAAATCTTAGAGCCATGGCCTCTGTGGCTAAGTTGGAGTATTGTCCTGTACACCAAAAGGTCGCAGGTTCAATTCCCAGTCAAGGCACATGCCTAGGTTTTGGGTTTGATCCCAGGTTGAGGCTACTGGTCAGTGTTTCTCTCTGACATCAGTATTTTTCTCTCTCCCTCTCTCTAAAATCAATAAGCATATCCTCAGATGAGCATTTAAAAAAAAAGAAATCTTAGAAACAAACCACCAACCAAACCCC